TATTTGCAACAGTGTCTTGGGAGATCCGATCTTTAGCAATAGCAACTAGCCTCTGAAGATCCTCGTTTGGTACGATGACTCGAGGCTCATCGAGAGCATTGAATACAAGATCCATATCAGGCAGATACTCGACAAAGGTCTTGATCATCTTGACAGTGGCGCTGCGCTGCCAGCTCTGCTCATAGGCCCCTCCTTCCGCCAGCGACACCGAGCCATTTCTGATGAGTATCCCGATCATGGAGTTGTCGAAGCCCAAGGTCTCCCGGGCCCGCTCGCGAATAGTCTTCGGTTCAAGGGCCCAAAATGGCAGCAGGGCATGGTAGATCGTATCATACTCATCGATGAGCTGCACCCCTCTATCCTTAGCAATTGGAACCACTTGTCAAAATGCGGGGGAGGATGCATGTTGTAGCGAGTGCGATATTCGGTGACAGCCTGGCCAGGGTCTTTCGATTGGCGTGCCAGTAGCCGATCGGAATGCTGCTCAGCATTCTCGACAAGCGATGCAATAGGATGAATCCGTCTGGTTGAGCAACCTTGCGGTTGGTGGTCTGCTCAATAAGCTGCGCATTGGGCGGGATTGCAGGCCTCTGGAAGATAGCCGAAGGACGAGGATCAGGCGAAGGAAAAACATTCACTGCAGGGGAAGGATTAGATCCTCTGAAGCAAATGAGAAACAAGGAGACCAGAACAAAGGTCCCAAGCCAGACCACAGATCGTTGGGTTCTCATCCTGCCATCAGGTAGCTCTATACATGAGATGAGACTCGAGAGGGATGGGCACGGTTGTTTGTAAACAACGGGAACTAGTAGTTGCCCGGTAGCTTATAGATGCAAGAGCCTACTACAGTAAAACACGTTATAAGCAATTATATGAGACACGCCACCAAATTGCTTATATCGAGGTCTTCCTTATATTGAATATTCTACCTAAAGTAGCCACGAATATCACTTTGCTGCGTGTTTAACACCTTTCTTCGAAGAATATCACGTTCCTGGCATGCTAGCGAGTGTAGAGATGCTTGATTAGCATCATTTTGTTGTTCTTCGTACAAGCGGAGGTCATATAATGCCTGCAGGGCCTAGTAGATGATATAAATGGTAGAGGCTCTATCATTTCATCATCCTCTTCAACCTCATCTTCAACTGCAGTGTACTGGCTTAGAACAACATCATCAATATCAGTAGTTGCATCATGAACCTGCTCTTCTAAAGGATTCAAGAACTGGTCAAGCTGCATCATATCTTGAATCCGTGCAGTATTCTGCAACTTCTGTAGACTAGCAGTCAAATCATGTAGGATAGCAGAGTCAGGCATAGGATTATAAGTGTCATCTGAAAGCGCGCGTGTAAAGCAGTGGCGGATTGTATCATCTTTCAAATCAAGATTCCATGCAGATATTGACCAACGGAGCGCTTGCAAAAGGTTCATCGTAGTTATAGGATCGTATCCCCGGTCATATTCAGTCATCATATAAACCAGCCATTGCCGTTTCCAGTAAGCCTTCCAGGTCCGGATGATGCCTTGATCAAGTGGCTGGTATCGTGATGTTGAATTGGGTGGCAGCCATATAATCAGAGTATTTGATAACTGTGATTTAACCTCTTCGTACGCAGCAAGATAAGATGAGAAGTTATCACATAATAAAGCAACCTGCCGGCCAACCATTCTCTGGTCAAACCAAAGAAGCCATTCTTTGAAGATTGCAGTAGTCATCCAACTCTTTCGATTGCTTCGCCATTTGCAACCTAGATTCTCTGGGTTTATACCTGCTGCTTGGAAGACTCGAGGCTTCTTTGCTGTACCAATAAACCATAAAGGAAGGCGCTCAGAGGCATCAGCATTGCAGCAGAAGTGTATACTGATACGTGCCTTATCTTTCTTACGTCCAGGGATTGAACGCGTAGAAAGACCACGATCCGGAGGCATTCTCCAATATAAGCCAGTCTCATCACAGTTGAAGATATCACAAGGCGCGTAAACACGTAGTGCTTTGCGTATCAAGATCATCTGGTCTTCAGCATCATTTCCCAGTGTTATCTCCCTGCCCTCTCCGTATTGCTTGAAATTCTTGATATTCTTCCTATATTGGAAGCCTCGAAGCCAACCGTTGCTGAATGACGGCATCATCTTATCAGGATAAATAATCGGCCAGTATTGCTTTGCTTTCTCGCGTATGACTTCTTGTGAGATAGTAATATAGGATTGCGCGCGTTCAAGCCAGTCAATAACTGCTGCCTCTAGCTCTGGCCACAACTCTGTTCGACGTCGTTTATCATTCAATCGGTGGTCGGGAATAGCATCAAGATAATCACATCGGGGAGACAGGATACGGGATACGGAGGAGGGAGCAATCCGCTGGTTGTACGTGGCTTCGAACCACTTGATAAGGTCGATATTAGTGAGCTGAGGCTTCAACTGGTGTTGAGTGCGTAGAGCAGCTTTTTGGCTGTTAGAAATGCAACATCGCGTTTGTTTGGAGGTCTGCTTTGGCATGATTCCTGAATAATGACGTTCAAATTAGCTATTCCGAGCATCCAATATAGGCAATTTTGTATGGGGGAAGGTCAGGATCTTAGCAATTTGCTAGTAATGGAGGATGAA